AATCTTAAGCCTTAATCACTTAAATATCGTTTAGAACAATTAAAAACAGCAACTGCATCACATTTCTTGGTCCATTATAGCCTATGTATTTTTTGCATTTACATAAATTACTTTGCATTGCATAAATGTGTCTCTGTATGAAGATATTCTCAGAATTCTATCAGGTGAAAGCAGATTTTTATCTATGAGTAAACCATTGGTTTTGTTATGAGTTGCTCAAAATACAAAAAAGTTCCCACCATTTTTCACTGAGGTTCAGAAGTCATGTGGAGAAAAATCAATCACAGAAGAGGAAGCAATGCTCATTTCTCCACAGAGGCATCAATAAACCAGAATGCTTTGCAGCCACAGCTTGCATATTTGCTAATCTACGATTGCTTGTGTGACAAATCCATCAAACTCTTTAACAGCTTTTTTCTAATTTGAACAATGAGGCGCTATGGCATTGTTTGTTCCCCAGTCTCACAATGTTCTTACTAATGTACTCTTCTCTGTGTGTGAAGGCTGTTGGAAAGCATCTGGCAAAATGCAGGATACCATTAAAAGAATAATTACAATATTTGGAACACTTGATAGCTTAATGACACTTGAGCAGTGTAACAGCGTGGTAGTTTACCTTAAATCAAGGGATAATACTGCTTTATATCAGCTTATATATATAGCAGTGGCCTATTCCTAGTGCCTGTGTAGACTATAATTCAGTTTAGGTCTCAAAGGTGTTTCTATGGTTTCACACAGTGCATCTCTGTATGAAATTTGGAAGAAAGATTCATTCATCTCCACACAATGGCTAACAAAGAGGGCACTGAGCCCTGGCCAAATATCACAAGTTACATTGAAAACAAACAAAACGGTCTTGCTGCATACTGAGGAGGCAAAACCTCCCAATGACTGATAACAGTTCTGGAGGATTTAGGCACTGTGGGAGAAATGGCTTCTGTGGCTTTGCATTCAAGTCACTTGGCCATTTGGAGCACCAGGAAATGACACACATTCCTCCCTCCCAGTAACAAAATAAACCCAAAATCTATCTTCCTACAATTTCTGCACAATAATGTCTACAACTTCAGTTTTAATTACTCAGCTAAAAATCGTGAAATTGATTTATGGTCTTGATTTCACTGCACAAGGACCATTTTATCAAAACCAGACAGCAATACATTGGACCTTGTTGTTAACATTAAAGGTTTTTTTAATAACAGCATGTCTGTACTCCATATTAACTAGTTAGAGAAATTAAAATGCACTGTTATTTTTTACACAGTTAAGTGCTTCAAAACCATATGTTTCTGTAGTAGAATTTGTAGTCTGAATTAATGAGATACAGAAACACACACCCACTTGACACCCATACAGGGACAAAGCCTTTCCAGTACAACCACACGGGAACACAATTTTTTTCCAGTCTCAGCATTTCTCAAGTCAAACTTGCTGCTAATTCTTACTCACAGAGGTAGACTGCGATGACTAATCATATCACATTCCTTTGTCACAATATGCAACTGCTTATAATGCGCAGTCTCCAAGGGCGTACCTTCCTACTTTGCAGATGAGTAAATACACCAGGTAGATGAGTTTTTTTCATGACATCCAACAAGCTATTTTTGATCATTTTAGCCTTCACAAGCCGTTTTGAGTGACAGTTTCAGGAGTTTCTCTTACAACTGTGTTCAGAGTCTCACAAGCTTTTTAATTGACAGAAAAAAATTCAAACAATAAAAATATCCTAAGTTCACTTGATCTGCCTCGCCTGCTTGTGGAAGTTTTTTTTAGCTTCTAAGTATTTTCCACTTCATTTGACTGTGCCTGAAGGTATATTAAAACCATTTTCATAAATATTCTTGAATAAGCCCTTGAGACGTTTTTTATAGCCTGGGTTTTAAGGAGTGTAGATAGACACATCAATGGCTGTTTGTGTGTGTTGGGGGTGAGGGAGCAAGTAATTACAGTTGTGTGTGTGTGTAATTGAGTTTTCCTGGATTTGGGGTTGAAACTCTCATCTGACCAACTGAAATGTATTCATTGGTGTTTTTTTTAGCGCAGGATTACATTGTAGAAGAGGGAGAATAGCTGTAGTATCAAAGCAGTTTCAATCTCAGCGTGATTTATGGCGGATATTAAACGCTTCCAAAATTAGTTGCACCGCTTCCCACAACCCAGAGTCCTCAAAAGGTGAGAAAATGATGGAATTTAATTTAATTTTAAAATTCAAAAGCTCTAGTCCTTCTCTTTGTTACATCTTTTTGAGATGTGAAAGAGGTTTAAGGAGGTTAGGGTTAATACACTGGCAAATATATCAGGCTATGCAAATCATCTATCAATTGGAGTCTGGTGGTACAAGAAAGCAAATCTGGTGCAGATGATCTCTGTGTGGGCAGGAAGCCTTGAAGGTTTGCATCATGTCTGCCACGTTCTCCCCGAGGGCATTCTAGCTTCCTTAGATGCAGAAACACACACTCACGCACGCAAGCTACCGTTTTTCCTCACAGCGCGGCAGGAGTCTGTCTTCATCTGTCCTATTGATCGATGGAGCAGGCACAGCAGGGTGTCCGAGAGAGGCAGAAGTCTAGATCAAGGCTGTGAGCTGCATCACTGGGAGTCACACCGCGCACACACACACACACACACACACACACACACACACACACACACACACACACACACACACACACACAGGCACATTCATACACTCTTTCACTGTCTCTGTCATGTTTTCTCTGTGTCTGTCACAGCAGACACTGTAGACACAGGCAGCCATGACACAAGTGTACACACATGCATACTGAGAGACATGACACCCACAGCAGTGCTGACACACGTCGTCATAGCTCACAAATACACCATATCACACTTACACACGCACACACTTGGAATGAATTAGCAGGGCTTGGCTGTGCGGGCGCCTAAGCTGGACAGGCGTTTTTTTATAAACATAATGTTTGTAGATTAGTTGGGGTTAATGATCCAGTTGCCTTGGATCTGCCACGGCGTCTGTGTGTGCGTGCACATGTGTGTTTTTGGCTGAGGGGAAAAAAGGCACTGCTCTACTGTGCTGTCTCCCTCACTTCCAATTGAGACATGCCTCAGGCACCATTACAAGAGCAGTATTTATGCTATTAGGGAACTGGGTTTGCCGCGCTAGCAGTGGTACCAGAACGAAACAGCTAAAATTATGTCTTGACTAACCTCAGTGGGCAGGTCCAGTATTTTCTTTGCATAAATGAGAAATTACAAGTTGTGTACTTAAAGGCTATTTTTGCAAATCGCCTGTTGGAATATCACGCACATTATTTCTGAGCCATGTAAATGCAAAAGCCAAAGAGCTGAGTTTTTTTTAAAGTGTTTTTTCTTTCAGAGCAGAAATAAAAATCTGAAATCAAGAGGTTTTTTTTTCCTCCTCCTTCTCCATCTTTACTTTGGTGTTTAAAATTAGCTTCCTAGTCAAAACCAGAAATAGTCCTCTGCAAACAACTTTCTTCAACTCTCAGTCAAATGGAGTCGGTGGGTTCAGTGAGGGTGTAGTCCCTTCAAACCGACCCCCCACCTCCCCACAAACACACTCTGAGTAGCCCCTCTCATGTAATGCTGAATGGACAGAAAAGTACAGGAATGAAAGAGAGGAGAGAAAGAATGACCGAAAAATGAATGTAAGACCCTTACCCTTTTTTTTCCAAAGTGAACCCCCCCTCCTCTTTCAACCTACATATTTTTCTCCTATCCCTCCCTGCCTCCCTCCCTCCCTCCATCCTTCGTTCCCTCCCTTCCTCTCCTCCGGCGTTCCTGTCGAGGCATGCCTCCGTCCCCACCAACCAGCATCGTCCGGGGCAGGGCGAGGGGGCAAGAAGAGAGGAGAGGGAGGGACTGGGGGGGGACAAACAAAGGAGCACTGTTGCTCCCTTGCTAGGGTTTTGGGGAGGGTCGATGCACCAGGCTGGAGGGGTGCGGGTAGAGGAGTACAGACAGAGTGTGACTGAGGAGGTTTATCATTAAGAATAGAGATTAAAATGAATGGGAGGGGAGCAGGGGTGTCTGTTCTGTTCACAGTAATAAAGAGGACAAGCAGTGCCAGTCATTTTTTCACTCTCACCCAGACACACACACACACACACACACACACACACACACACACACACACACACACACACACAGCTTCCAATGCTGCAGTTAGCGTGAGCGAGTGTGTGTGAGTGTGAAAGATAGGGGAGGAATGGGGATGGTTCATTGTTTCCTGGCCATTGTACAATATTTGCTTAACCCTCGTGCTTTATCTGTGCAGCTGTATGCTACAAATGAGATGGGCGAAGAGTGTGTATGTGTGTGCAATGGCGGCTGTCACAGCTGTTAGCAATTTCATCAGTGCACTGTAAGACACCCCCCTACCCACACAGAGATTCACAAACCCTGTCAATTTATGAAGCGGTATGGCCGTGATAAAATCATTCTCCGAACAACACAATTACTCTTCAACTTAGTCTCTGCAAACAAAAATTGAACGATGAAACGGACGCAGTAACAAGCCAACGCAGGTATGAAAACTATAAATGGCAATCATGCAGCCATATGGAAACATAACAGTCGTCATCCTATGGCTCTTTTCTGCCACCGGTTGCCAGTCAGTACTCCCTGACCCCAACTTGACCTCATTCCTCCTAACTTAAAGCACACGGCATTGTTCAGGTTGGGATTACATACAACATAACAAAATATATCTTGACTTTAAACTTTCATGTAAGCGCTGGTTGGCAAGCACTGGTTTGTAATCTCTGTGCCTATCTTGTTCATACATTCTTTCTACGCACCGAGCAGAGTAGAGAAACTGTTTTGAAAGATAACTGAATTTTAAAGGCAATAACTGGATTCCCACAAGGCCCAACTCTATGAATGGAGTGCTTTTATTTATTTATTTTTTTCTTGATGTGGGGGTGCTGGTAGAGATATCTACATTCCACTCAAACAGTTTCTTAATGGTTCGTTTCCCGTTTCTGCCCTTTCTGTTTCAGGTCACGAAAGCTGGCAGGAGAAGAAGAAAACAGAACAAGCACTAGCAGCGTTATCCTTCCCTCCACCACAGAGGGAAGGAAGGGAAGCAGAGCGCAATGAGGAAAAAGACAAGAGTGATGAAAGAGAGGTAAGAGATCTTGGTTTGCCCCGGGGTTATACATTGTCTTGTGTGTGCGCTTCTGTCTGTCCTCTATTGCCCTTCCACCTGATTTCCTGAGTCAGCTGTGTACCTGGGGTGGGTTTGGTGTTTGCATGCATGCGTGTGTGTGTTTTGTTATGTGTTTGAGTGTGCCTGTTTGTTTTTGTGTGTGTCCCTGGCGCCGAGCCACAGCCGCCAGGTGAAGAACGACGATTCCTGACTGAGTCACCTGCTGCACCCTATTGTCTTTATGTCTTTTCACCATTTTCCACTCACATCTATTTCTCTGTACTGATGAGGAACCCACCAGCCGTTCTCATTTATATGTACGATGATATATTTCTTAATTTATATGATTAGGTCTTTTGGAAATTGGAAAAAAACAAAGTGGCACTGGTTCATGTATTGACTTGATGTCATTCACATTCAATAGGAACACAGCTTTGTAGCTTGATATTTCAGTTAATTATTAGGTATACGTTTAATTCTGAATTTACCAAGAGTTTTATTTAGTTTCCTTTAATATTAAATAGACAATACACATATTGTGTTAAGGAACCACTAAAACAATTTAAATCCCCCCAAAGAGATGAAAATTCCAAGGAAAATATGTTGTACCTAATGTATTCTTTAGTCGTGAATACTGTAAATTGGTCCAAAAAGTAAACAAAAAATATACCATATGAAATATCTTCATCAGTAATAGTATAGAGTTTATATACTGTCTGCCATAGCATACAAACTCCACCTGTTGTCACAGATGTTCAGCCCGTTCCTGTTTTGTGTCAGAAAACAGAGAATCCATTGCATGTTTTTAGGATTTTATGTTTTTTTCTCCAGCATCCGTACACAAATTTAAAAAGTCAAACATTTTAGGGATGCAGGGAGTCAAAAATAAAACACTACCTTGGAGAACAGCATAGCCAAAAGGCAAAACACAGGAGTGAAACTGGGAAAAGAGCCACCTTATTGTCTTAACTGTGTTTGAGCGGTTCCCAGAGTAAGCAGTCTCTCTGAGAGTCTATCTCTCTCTGTGTGGCTGAAAGCAGCCGTAAATCATTTTCTACCATACAGGCATGGCCAGAATGGCTGCCACTGTACACAGATAGGGGGATGGTTATAAAGAGGAGAGGCACTGAGAGGAAAAGAAAATGTTGTTTTTCTCAGTTCTCGTCATTTTCCCTTCTGATGAGACTTTCTTCAACCTCAACTACTGTATTATTATTGTTGTAATCTAAAATGTAAAAGCGTCCATTAATTGGGTATACTGTAGTTTAAAATGCTATCATGGTGCAATAATTGGTGATTAAAGGGCAAAATGGGAATGCACAAAAAATGGGAATGTAGGGTTCAATGTTCAAGACACTTTTCCAGAAACACTGGCTGTTAGGGAAATAAACCTTTGACTCTTATATTACACAACATAATATTTACTGTCTTGCTGGTGTCCCCTGCTAGTACAAATTTTCTTTCCTTTCATTCTCGTTTTCCTCTGACCAGCTCTCTGAGGAATATATACAACATGAACTGTACCTCACAATGACTTGACAGAACAAATTCAAAGCAATAGCGATAGCAATGCTTATTTCAGTTCATTTCAGTTCAGCTCAACTCATTTCATATCAACCCAGTCCAGTCAAACTCAATTCTGTCTTCTAGCTCTTTATGTCTTGCACTCTCACTCACTTATTTTAAGTCTGCCTGAGCCGTGCAATCTTCTCACATTTTCAACTCCCTTCAGTTCTGTCTCTCTCGAGCGACCGCTGGTTAATTTTCACCCCACGCCCCATCCCTTCTCTCAGGTTTATGTGCATTCAACTATCCTTTATTTATACCCTTCCATCACAGCCTTCATTTCTTCCATCTGTGCTAGATGTTAGTTGTTTTTAAATGGAAGTGCTTTTGAACTAGTTTGAGGAAGAAATGCCTTCTCCTTCTTCTTTCGTCATTATTTTGATGGGTAAACTATATATCAACCAACTGGGATTGGTGGAGTCACAAGTTTTGCAACTACACAAAACCCCATTGTTTTTGGAACTGGTCAAATGATGCAAGCATAGTCTGGGGAAGAAAGAAAGGAAAAAGGTGGAGGATGTTGTAAGTATCCAGACATGCCACTGCTCTTTCTTCTTCCCTCCTTTTTCCTCTCAAGTGTGTCTGTCTTCTGCTCCGGTGGAAGAAGGTCTTTCAGGAGCAGCCAAGTCTGTCTAAGCTGGCTTTAAAAGCTGCGGGACTGAAGAAGCGCCATGGTTCTCTTTTGGTGTCCATTTGTCTATGTGGAGGCGGGGTTGCAAGGCTGAAGCCACAGAGTGTCACACGGTTTCATATTTCAAAAAACGCATATGGGAAAATGACAAGCAAATGAGTCACTCCGTCAAGTCATATTGATTCACTGCAGGACTGGGGGACATAGCGAGTAATTGTCAGTTTCCCGCTCACACAAAATAACCGACAAATGATGGACGATGGTTTACAATGGCAGGGGGGGACATACTCAGTTGGGGAAGGGGCATAAAAGCCTGATCGACAAGTGTCGAAAATGGTAACATTTGTGTCCACACAAAGGAAAGCATAGAACAACAGAGTGCTGCTCTATGAAAGCCTTTTTTCCCCTGAGCAATGACACCCATCAACCACTGGAGGATTAAAGATTAGAATGAGAGCTTTTATTGAGCTTGAAGCCACAGCGGTTTCAAAATGGATGGATGGATGAAAGATTGATGGGCAAGAGGGGGCAGAGACAGAAAAAGGAAAACAGAGATTGAAGGCGGTGTGCAGAGAGTAGGAATAAAAAAAGAAAGAGAAAGGGTTATTGGTGGGGATTTTCAAGTGAGCATAAGAGCATAATCTATGAGAGAGATCCAAAAAGGGGAGAGATACTGTAGAACGGGTGAATAAAGAAGTGGGGGGGTGAGGGCCAATGGAGCGATGCCTCTAATGTCTTTATAAGGCCATAAAATACTGCACTTCCTGGCCTGTCTCTAATTGCTGCGAGGGATGGGATGAGGGGAGACTCGACTCTACCTGCCTTCTAAATGAGGCCCCTAAATCCTCACTGCTTGGCCTTGGGGGCTTTCTTTTAGATTGCTATGCCAGCAACATGGATGCAAAGAGAAAGCAACCTGGGGAAGGTCTATATTTGAAGGCTCTTTATTTTTCTTTTTGCTTGAGATTAAAGTTGAGAAAGAGAGATAATTGCAAAGAAAGACTAGAAGAGGTTGGGGAGTTCCGTATTTAATGATACCCTTAGAGTTATCTGGTAAAATAAAAATGAATGGAGAATGACATAATGTTGAATGAGAGAAGGTAAGAGTAACAATATAATGTACTTTAGGCTATTCCCAACAATAAATACTTGAAAATCAAGCTGCGAAAGCACACACAGGAAAAAAAGAGGCAGAAAGAGAGAGGATTTTATTGACTCAGTGGGAAACAACTGTAGAAATGGCCACGCTTCCCCAGGGAGCTGTATGCTGAACTCTTCAAAATGTGAAAAGTAACGCTTGCCATCATTGGAAAAGAAAACATTTTCATTTCAGAAACTGCTTGTCTAAGGGACCCTGCCCCAACCTCTAACCTTCAAATAAGCACAGTAACTAACAGAGCCTTCAGAGGCAGAGAAAAGCTTCATTTTCTTTACAATGTGGAATGGGGGAGAAAGGCACAAAATTCATTCTAATACAGTACAGTATGCCCTGCATACCTGCAGATGTACTGGAATGGAAAAGCCATTAATATCTATGTAAAAGCTACATTATAAGATGGTAGATGAAAACGTATTTGCCAGTGCCAATGAAAGCCTTTAACTACATCCAGATATTTTAGATTTAGGCTAACCAGATGTATGGAGATGTGATAGATGTATCTGTGGGCAGAATGGTAGAATTATATGTCTCACAGACAACAAAAAACATGTTATCTCTTTCATGCTTTATTTTTAATTACATCAAATGCTCAGATGAAAATGACAACAAAGATGCCATATAGTTACCGGTAATGGATGTTTAATCACGCAATCCCTATATCATTAACGCTCTGCTCTCATTGGTGCTGTTTTGCTATTGAAAGTATTTTAAACTAACATTGCTCTGCACCACCAAGCCCACACATTGTGGTTTTCCTCTTTCATCCAGTCACCCTATATGTTGTATATTCAAAATGAATGGTAATTTCAGGGCATTATGATATTGTTTTTTTTATGAGTTAATTTTTATCTTTTGTCACAGACTTAAACTGAGTTCACGAGATGTACGGCTAACTTTTGCTGATTTGGATGGTGGGAGTACGGGGGTGTATTGTGTCTAAACTTGCCACGCTACAAGAGCTGTATAACAGTTGCCTTTTTTGTGCTGGGTTTTATCAGTGGGTGAGAGAATAAAAAGGAGTCAAAGGCAGCCCCCTAAGCTTTCCATAATGCGTCCCGCAAGGAGACAAAGGCCTGCATTCACTGCTGGGTGTCGATAAGACCTATCATTAGTCTGCCATTGGAGGTATTACCAACACACACAAACACTCTTATACACACACATACACAGAGTGCAGTAGGGTACTTATTCCTGTACCCATTCTCTTTTTCCACATAGACACACATAAATATTCGTATGCGTGCCAGAGGAGTGAAAGAGGCAGCCAGGCTCGACTTGAATCGAATAAAGGCAGAGGAGTGGACCCCCTGCCGCTTTCCCATCATAGCAGAATTCACTCAGCATTGTGAATTCTGGCTACGGCATCCACACGCAGATATACTCTGTCTGTTTATGCATGTGTGCTTCTCCGTGTATGGCTGCAACCTTTAGGTAGCTGGTGCCACAACAAGCTAACAATAAAGAATGCACATAACCCTGAAATTGATGTTTATATAAATACCTCTATTTATCCATTTATTTTACCTTCCATTTATGATGAATAATCTTTAGGTTAGAGTAATGGTGGTTGACCTCAAAAAAACTGCAGTATAGTATAATCATTATCCAGAGGACTAATGGCTT